AGAAACAGACACTTAAGCCAAAGTAACACCATCTGAAAAGAAATGATAACAAACTGAAGGTAGCAGGACAACAAGGACTTTCAGCAGCAACCAATAGCAGCAACACCACAAGCTTCATCACCCAACCCACACAAGTAGCAGTCCCAAAGGGGAGTAAACTTCCACTGAACCGGAAGTACCTGGATATTTACAACCCCAAAGCAACTTACTACAGCAATCTATTTTCCCTAAACTCTGCCCATTTTTTTCACAGCTGTATCAACAACTGTTACTTCAGCCATTAGACTTCCTTTGTGTTAGAATATTACTTGTGAGTTGTCCCATATCGTTCATACATGGAAAATAGACCCACCTTATAAGTCTAATGGGCTACTCCTCTTTTCACCAATTGGTTTTGGGATGGTACCCCACTTGGGCTTCATATGGGCTTTCCCCGCTTTTGGTGCGCTTCATGTTAGTGGGACCGCACCCGTTTTTTCCCCAGTTTCTTACATAGTATCAGAGCCGGTTCTATTGGGACCGTGCGATGACGTACCCATTTATGAGAGTCTACTTCCCCACGTACCCGTTTATGGGAGTCTACTTCTAGTAGGATTGGGGCACCCAGTTGGGCTTGGGCTTCCGAAGGACTCACAAGTGAGGGGGCGTGTTAGAATATCACTTGTGAGTTTTCCCACATCGTTCATACATGGAAAATAGACCCACTGATGTAGCGAAAGCGTGAACGAACGGGAAGATACAAGGAGATACTCTCTCCAGAACACGGGATACTCTCCCAAAAGAAAACACGATCAATTATTTTCATTCATCAAATTCTGCTCCTCACCAAAACAGAAGTGCCCTTTAAATAAAGGCTTCAAACTCGGCCCTAGCTTAATATCCAAGCAACTAATAATAATAATAATAATAATAATAATAATAATAATAATAATAATAATAATAATAATAATAAACATATATATATTCTTCATCATTCTCCCCCGGTTGAACAGGATTCGGCCTCGAATCCGACCTGTTCCCGTTGGAGATGTCACCAAGACAGGAATAATCCAGATTTTTCCCGATCAAACACGAAGCTCGAAGGTCGTCCAATCGCACCGGCGAACACAAATTCGGGCACGTATACAACGGTTGGAAAAGCAAAGGGGCCTACTTCCCGATGTAGAATCCCAGAAGCCGAACGAAAACCATAATCACTACAGCCAGAACGTCCACTGGGGGAAGACTTCAGAACAAACAATCCAACAATGTCTCGACAACTATTTTAGTCCCGAAGGCGCTTCCAAAAAACCATCCGTCGCAAAAATGTTGAAAATTCGGTCCAAACGACGGGTGTTCGGTCAAAGGGACCATCGGGAGGATGTCCCACGTACGTGGAGCCCAAAGTGCCGTCAATATGTATCTTCGGCACCAGAGGCTTCTCATCAAAAATAGGCGGACCGTCGTAAATTGGCCCGTCAACGTGATCCTCGTCGAAGGCAAAAATTTTAGCTCGAAACGGGCCCACCTCTTGACCAAATTTGCTGCCAACAACACATTGTACAAGCCCAATTGCCGTAGCTACGTCACATGCCCAAAAATGTGGACTAAATACATTCCTCACGTGGGACGAATAACTGAAATTGGGCCATCCATGCACAGGCCCAATAGTGAGAAAAAAATCCTGACTGCTTTGGTGTTTCTTCTCATCGCCTTTCCTCTGCACATTTATTCGACTCTGCACATCGCCCAAATTACGGATCTCTCCAACTCCCCATGCCCGTCGCTGCACCTCTGCGAATCCGGTGCCGGTGCCTCGCCGGTCGTGCCCAGGTCCATCGGGACATTCCTCAGCGGCGCATCGGCCGTCCAATTCCCAATCCGCTGCACGCCCTCCGTCTGGCCTCCGTTGTGCGCGTGGCCGGAAATCGCCTAGGGTAAGTTTGTCCGAACAGGTAACTCGACGATGGTAGTCGCCGGCATCCATGCCGATGCGCCGCCCCACGCGACCCCAGCCCGCCTCAGTACGCCGGGAATTTGTCCCCTTGGCATCGAAAAAAGACAACCCAGTAGGCACCTTCGTGCGTCGTCGGGTTGCGCCGCCATAGCCTGCCGCCTCGTACTCGTCGTCTTAGTGGCGGCGCGGCTGTCCAAACCCAGTGAAGCTTGAGTCCTCTCGATCGGGCCCTCGTCTACGAAATTCATGGTTGAAGCCTGAAGCATTTCGCAGGAAATAGCCACCTAGGGTTGCGCGACTGGCCCGAAATTGGTAATCAACACCCTCCTCAGATTGCTGTTGACTGCGAAATCGGGCCGCTCCTAGGTTTTCCTCGCCCGTGCGCTCGCTGCCATCAACCCTGCGTGGAGGTTTGTCGAAAACAGCACTCCACCGTAAGTCTTGGTCCCCCGATATTTCGTCGGAAACATCACCGGTCAATGGTGGCGGTGGTGATCGTCGGTGGGGCGCCCCGCAATAACCTCGACCCCTACGACCTCTGCTTATCCCTCCGCGATGGCCCCGGTCAGCCCTTTCGCGGTCCGTACGTACCTCGTTCATCATGGTATTCATTGTAATACAAGTCTCGCACCCTGACCAGTTGGAAATCGCCCTAAGCTTGCTCTCCTCGCCGGTTGAATGCGGAACCTGCACGAAACTCCCACACCGGAGGTGTTTTCCGGTGAAGAGCCTCCAACGCTCAAGTCAGATCTTGAGAGATAATATGAGTGTATGAAAAAGTGTAAGAGTGTATCCGATCCTCTTGAAAATGAGGATTCTCGCCCTTATTTATAAGGGCGAGTTACCTGAGCTGCACGCGCGAGCAAGGCGAGTTTGGCTAATTGTCTTCTGCTCGTCCGTACAGCCGCGCGCCTCTACTATCCTCAGTGTCAGAAAACGCGTCGCCTTTGTCAGAGAATGTCAGAGTTGGTTACGGCTGTTGACCACTCATAGTCCGCCGCGTGTCCTCTTCCTTATGTGCTGGAGATTCCCTTGTGTGCTCCGATGTTCTACCAGTTCTGTACGTCTATGCGTCCTCGATCATCCTTCCTCGACCATATCCTCAGATGACTTGTATCTGTCGACCATTTCTGATCTTCTTAGTCGTCGCTATCTGCTCGATGTTCTAGTGGCCGGTGTCTGGTCCTACTCAACCATGCCATTCGATCCATTCTTACTTTGGTAGTCCAATAAACCGGTCGATCTTCTTTGATTAGCCCTGCAAACCGGTCCAGTATATAATATCCCATATCATCTAGTCCCCCCACTCTGGTCGAGTCTGAACGACTCGATCTAAGAGTAGGCTTTGGTCTGTATCGAGGAGGTTCTGTTGCTTTGTCTTCGACCACCTGACCCATTTTCTTCTCTTGTACTTTTGTTCTCTTTTCTAACCGCCACTTTTCGTTTTTTGAACTTCAAACTCCACTACTTTATGCTTTTTGAATTTCAAACTCCGCCACTTGTCCGCTTTTTGGGACGCGTCTTTTCATTTGCTCAGGACTAATGATGACCTCGTGTCCCGTGTTACCTCGATTCTCGCGTCTACTTACACGCCCCCTCTCCTCCTGCCGTTGGATTTCATGCTTTAATCCTACGGTCGGCCATTCCTCTCTGCCCTTATAAATACCCATCCTTGAGGAAACTTTTCCTTTTTCTTCACTGCTGCATATCATCGTATTAGGGCTTTCTGCAATCGTCGAGCATCCTGCAACCTTGAGTCCTCCGTCTTTCCTGCATATTCTCCGCTGTTCGCCATGAGTAAGTCTTCTTTATCTTTTTCTCGAAGTATTTTCCTCGAACTTTTAGTTTTACTTGTTTCTCCTTTTTTGCTTCCCCTTGCGCCCTTCTCCTCCAATTCCTGTTCTTCCACTGTGCCGTGTTCTCGCCATTCTTCTTTTCTTTTCTCTTGTTTTCTTATTAATTGAAATTTTTCTTCTTTTTCTTTTCTTCCCCCTTTTCTCAGATTCCGCTACTTCGAGTGAAAATGATCGACACAGTGGCAAGGACCTGATCTCTCCTTCCTCCTCCGCTACTCTCAGTTTATCG